GAAAGAATGCAGCAAATAATGCAAAGCTTAAAAATAACCGTCCTTGCCTTCTCCTCACATGCACGCGCGATGTATCAGGCCAGGTATACTAGGGGTGCTAGTTCGAGGTCATCCGGCACAGCAAGCCAAACATTTAATACTTCTAGCTCATAGGAAAGCCGCTTAGCACCGAGGACGACCGCAAGTGGCACGACCGCGGTGTTGCCTTCTCGGCCTTTGAGTTTTAGAGCTGCATTTGTTTCGGAGCTATGGGGAGCGTTTCCACTCTTAGCAGCTTGGAGGATTCCAACCTTGGGAAAAAAGTGCGTAGGTTACATGGGTGTGCTCTCCAACGGGCACCAAATATACCTTTAACAGCTTTTCGGCTGTGAAGACCGCGGTTCTTGCATCAACTCTATCGTTGCCTCCGTTAAACTGTCGAAAGCAACTGAAGAGGGAGGGACTCCACGGGGTCGCTGTTCAAGGCACGGGTCAAGACGTAGCGAAAGCTGGAAAAAAGTTTGTTTGATACCTAAGTCAATACGCATATACGTAACTGGGATAAAAAAATATGAAGGTGAAAAAAGAAAAACCTACTTGTTGTCTAATAGATGTTGAATCAATGCCACAGTTGACCTCGTCGTCATTATCGTTGCCTCGCATGTTTCTTTCGTCATTTTCTTTTTTGTTTTGCCACCAGAAAGCTGAATCTCCTCGATGTACATGATGAAGTCTACTTCAAGCCACGAAAGACGGTCGTCATTGATCAAGTAGAATGGTCTTTCCCTTTGACCGCGCGGCTTCACAGCGCTAATATTGTGAAGGTCATACCACTTCGACACCATTTTCATGAAGGTGATGGTGGGCAAACAGTCCTGAAATTCTGTCGCATCAGAGTGGCATTGCGGGTTTTCTTATAGGAACTCAAGCGTTGCTATTACGACTGGGGAGAAAACTTGTGTAGCCCTTGACACTTTCATCTTTTCTAAGTTGTTCGGTTCAACGTGTGACTGTGTTAGGAACCTCACCGGCTTTACGAGTAGCTGTGACTGAATGCTGAGTAGCATCTTCAAGTACAGTCCACCTTGAATTAGATTATCTCCGTCCATCATCTCTCTTTCCACAAGATTATTTCTGAGGTTCTTGATGAGGTAATTCGGATCAAAAGACAAAAAAAGAGGATCACGTCGCAATGGATGTGGCACTACATGCGCAAGCATTTCGTCCTCGGAAAGGCTCTTGAAGAGCGCAACAGTTGACTGGTGATTGTCGGTAACAATCCTCGTTACACGGAAACCCACATCTTCGACTGCCTTCATGACATTCATTGTCATAGAACGAAGTTGCTCACTCCTGAGGCACCAGGTAAAGAAGTACCCAACTGTTATTACATAGGCAGTTGATAGCCCTCGCAGGACGAAGCACAACAACCTGTTCGCCACTTCAGGCGTTGCACATGATTGCTGCTCAGGACCCATGTCAACGAGACCGAAAACCTTATCAAGTTGGCGATCGTACATAACTTTCTGCTGTATCGCCATTTCATCGATGATTAGGGAGCAGAAGATTTCTTGTTCGACTTGTAGCGCTTGAAACTCTGCGCGGAGGCGTTCTGTTATGAGTGATGTGACGCCTATTTCACCTGTTGAGTGCCCGATGTACTTCTGTAGTGTGGCACGACAAGGCAACTTGAACAGGCCTTGGCTTTTGCATATAGGACGGGTAATTGGGGAACACCGTCGGGATAGCAGTTGGCAAGAGCATTCGCAGTTTGGTGCCTTTCTTATAGTCATTTTCGGTGAAGTGAAGGGAACAAACCGAAGAGCGGTCACTGGGTACCCACCTTGTTTCTTTTCCGCCAGATCCCTGCCGGGAGATGTTGGTGAGCCATGCTTGTCGTCGTTCAGCGCTCGATGGAAATTCATGGTAGTTCAAACCGGGATTTTTCTTTGCGTTCGACGCGCACAGTGGAAAACAGCAGTTTTTTGGCATACTAACTGGCCACTCTAACTACCTAGCTGGACTGTGAGGCAGATCACATCAAGCTAAACACGACTATATTTGTTTGGAGCATGTAACCTCATTCCGCGGCGAGAAATTGGCGCGAAAATGCCGCGTTCGCCGTAGCGCGCCCGCGCGTCTCTTCGGTGTGTCCTCTACTACCAGCGCCCCCCGCGAAACTTGCGGCCGCAACTGTCAACAACGCTCGTCCTCCCTCGCCAATGCGCGGCGGCTCCACGCAGCAGGCCGCACCCTGTGCGCTTTGATCCAGCGGCCGTGGCCTGACTTTCCATATGGGACCCTGGCGCGAAGCCCGCGATGTCGAGCACCGGGAACCCACGCCACAGACAACCGTTCACGACAGCCGCCACGCGCAGAAGAGGCTCGCTCAACTCTCGCCCACCACCAAGGCCTGCCTTCCGCCAGGGACCTCCGCCGGCGTTACCACTCTACCAACAGTAGTACTCAAAGCAAACACAACGCCATCTATCGCCCCGCGGTGGTCACCACCGAAATAAAGCCTTGGGGCGAGACACGTGTGCCACGCGGCGCAGACAACTTTACAGGGGGGGGTGTCAGCGCCCCCACACATTGAACACCTTCGAATAAATACTTGCAATTTTTGCGGCACTTAGTAGGTGAACGGGGCTAAAATTATTTATGCTGTAAACATCCTTTTCCACGGGACAAAATAATTTAGGGACTTCTTTATTGGTACAAAAACTATGCCTATGTCTTGTACTAGTAGATGCATGCTACCATAATTACTACAAGTTTGTAAAGAACTAGATCAGCTCTGCCGCGGTGGTCTAGTGGCTAAGGTACTTGGCTGCTGACCCGCAGATCACAGGGCTGAATCCCTGCTGCAGCGGCTGCATTTCCGATGGAGGCGGAAACGCTGTAGACGCTTGTTCTCAGATTTGGGTGCACGTTAAAGAACCCCAGGTGGTCAAAATTTCCGGAGCCCTCCACTACGGCATCTCTCTAATCATATGGTGCTTTTGGGACGTTACACCCCACATATCTACAAGAGCTAGATCAGTACGTGATTTTTCTAGGAGAGCGTCAATAACGAAATCTTATTTTCTGTCTGCTGTGACTATGAGAAATATATCTACCAAGTTTCACGGCATTAAAACTAATTACTAACAACTCTGGGGTATACATTAGGCCACTATATTATAAGACAGGCATTTTGTGCCATTTTTTTCTAGTTATATCAGATATTCACCTAAAATAGTTCTTTTGGCTAGAGGCTTTTGTGAAATATATATATGAGGTTTATTAAATTGTTATTCGGGTTCTTGCAGCGAGGGCACACAGACTGAAAGTTCTCACCTTACGTAGTAGTTGAAATAAAAATTGTGTTACTTTTCTTACACAAACAATAACTCGCGTAACTTTTTTTTGTTGTTGTAGGTAACGTAAAGTGGTAACACATTCTTTTTTTTTATCTTAACGAGTAATGCATTTAGCTACCTTTTTTCGGAAAAGCATAAAATGCTGCTTGTCTCTGAAGTAAATGTGCCAAGAAAATTTTCAACCCAGACAAGCAAGCAGTGGCATCTCGGTAGACTTTTGTATCTGTCGAATTCCTTCTAAAGCCCCATCCTGAGTCTTGAGAACAAACTCACTCGTTCCTCGAGCACATCGCATCTTCAGGCTAAATCAGTCATAGAAATGTTGAAGGGGAAAAAAGCGACGCAACAAATTGGCTGCCCAAAGCATACTGCAGCTTTGACCAAGAGTGTGGCGCGATAATATTGCCTCACTCATGTCGACTTCTTTTTTAAACACATGAATCAAAGATAAGATGAAAAGAAAAGGCAAAGAGTAAAGCTATGAGTGAGAGCATGAACACCTGACATGCATCAAAATAAAGTGTTTTCGAAAAAAAAAACAGTGCCTAATGTCTGCGGCTGGGAACAAGTTATTGCGCCCTTAATGCGTGACTCATCGAAGTTATTAAGCAGCTGCAGGCTGCTAAGACTGCTATACTTGGAAACTGATGATTGAACACCTATTATTCAAGCTACGGCTGAACAAGATTACGCGGTTGGAAAACGAGGCTCTGGTGCCAGTTTTTCTGCCCTAGCTTGAAGGTATTCAGCATGTTGAAATTAATATCAAGCTTTCTAGTAATTTATTGTATCTTAACACATCTGCAACTCTGCCTTCAATAACCACAATATCATTAAATCCACTAACGTCGGGGTGGAGTCTCACATCATAGGCCTTTTCAGAAAGGGTTTTCAGAGGCGAGACTATATTGCTATTTTAAATCCGTGTCTTGGATGCCTTGCAGCGTTCTACATTTTCTCAGTCAAAAAAGTTTTACCGAAAATGGGTGACTGCCACAAAGCGTTAGAACGATTTTTGCGGAGAGCAGCGCGTGCTCACTTGTTGTGGCCCGTGCGAGTCTAACTGCGCCCCAAGCGGCATCGGTGTGCTTTGGAAAATGGTTTCGGCGGCTGTTTTTCGCACCTCCTAATTCTAGCCATCTTAGCCATGTGCCACCACCTACCTTCGCTGCCGGGCATAACTGCTGGCACTACCGTGCTAACCACGATGATGTGCAGTGATAAACGCTCGTGAGCACGACACCACTTTCTGCTCTATAATTGTGAATCCTCAGTGCGGCCTATGGGCGAAATGCAGGTGCGCCGCGAAACGGACGCAACTTTACAATGGGGTGTTATCACCCCCACAACATGCAACAGAGTGGTTACATAAGAAGGGCAAGTGGCAATATTTATGTTGGTACGTTGTTGTGTTTATAGTTGTATAAATCTTCCTTTTGACACAGGCCATATGTTGGAAGGAAGAGCATGGAAACTATGCACAAGGTGTGATTGGACCGAGGATGTAGCCATGTAGGACAATGGCATGCACATCAAGTATTTTTGGAAGAAATGTTAGGGAAGTCACCATAGGTTCTCTGCTGTCTAGTGTTTATTTTCCTCCAGTTACATAGTTGGGCACTCGACAGCTCAAGTAAATGAAACAAACTGCCTGTGCAGGTGAGCTGGTAACCCAGAAGCCCTTGGACCGTGAGCGTCGCCACCTTTACGAGGTCCCAGTGTCTGCAACGGATGGGGGTGGCCGGCTTGCATTTGCTGTGGTTCGTGTGGCTGTTACTGATGTTAATGATAATGAGCCAACATTTGGTGCAGCTGAGTATCAAGTCAGCATATGGACCAACACCAGCGTTGGAACCACCTTACTGAAGGTGATGTTTATTTATTTTGCATTTTGACAAAAGATATACTTGTGCCTCAATGATATGTGGCACAGTCATGTGGCGACCTGCAATTTACTACAAATTGGTTTGGTCTCTGTTGAAACCCCCATAGGAATTATGCACTGAGGACCTCAATATACTAGAAAACAATTCTTTTCTAACCTTGCCTCATGATGCTTCTCTGGTACCACTCGAGAAAAATAAATGTATTTAGTGTTTCAATCTAACCTGCAGTCATTCTTTGCAGGCTCAAAATAAAAATATACCTTAATGTACTGACGCGAGCTTTTTTACTATACCATATTTACTCGCATAATGAACCCAGTCACATAATGAACCGACCCCCCACCTTGGTCTTGAAAAAAAATTTTTTTTTCAATGTATCTGTGCATTTTATTTTGATGTGATAGCCAGTGCCGTTGAAGATTGAAATGACGTTAAATCACACCATTTTGTCGCAAAATAATGATGCAATCGAAGTCAAAACATAGTTTAACAACCATGCTAAACAGTGCAAATAGAAATGATGTTGATCAAAATTTAAAAGTCCCACCTTTTGTAGCAGAGTACCATACTAGCACAGCAACACCAAAACAAAGCAAAAAGCAAAGCGAAACCAAACAGTGCGGTTCACCCGCAAGGCCGCAATGTGTGTGCACCGCTATTGGATGCTGCATTTCTGATGTCAGGTTTGTCGTTGTGAACTTCGTTGGACAGCTGCTGCGCAGGGCATGATTGGCTGGTAGGCCAGCTACATTGCCAGTTTTAAACTCATAGTTGGTCGAGCATGCATTGGAGCATGATTGGCTTGTAGGCCAGCTACATTGCCAGTTTTAAACTCATAGTTGGTCGAGCATGCATTGGGGCATCGGAACTGTGCGAATGGACAGCACTTTGACATCGATCAGTGCATGCTTGTCACGGGGGAGAACAAGTGCTTCGGGTGACAAAAAAAGGTTCAGTGTGCACTTCACGGGCCAACACACGGACAGAGTTCCCTTGTAAAGAGCGAAGTTTTCGAATAGGGGCTGTGTAGTCTTGCCACAGAATTAAAGGCCAGCAGCGATTGGACAGTGAATTTCTTAATACCGTCGTGCAAAATTTTTGCTGTTTTAACTCCTGTGACTTTTTTTCTCTCATGTAATGAACCTTCCCCCAAATTGGCATGAACTTTTCGATGGTAAGGGGGGAAAACAAAGAAAAGTGAGTTCATTGTGTGAGTAAATGCTTTATTCGACTACTTTTACCGACCATGATATCGCCGGCCAAATCAAATACAACACTAGTGACAAGCTCATTATTCTCGTACCAATAATTCAATACCCAAATTAACATAACAACAAACACAAGGTAACGCAGGGACGACGTCATCGACATTCGACTCCCCACAAAGGACCCGCGGGAAACAACCTGCGGTTGCCACATCCTGCAGGTCCTCTGCAGGATCTCTATTGCCGCCCCAATACCGATGAGTTCCCCATGTTTACTGTGCATCGACCTAGCCTCGCTGCCGGGCAACAATGCTGGTTACGATAATGATGGTGATCGTGAAACTGCGCGAGCACTGCGTCACCTATCGCTCAGCAGCTGTTAAAATTGTGGGGTCTAAATGAGGCACCATGCTTTTGGAGCGAAAGGATACCAGTTGACGCGGTCAAACCCAACCAAAGAACACATATCATCATCATTATCATTTGTTGAACCCTTAAAGGCCCCTTGCGGGGTATTACATAAGGGAGAGGCAAGAACACAATTCAACAGATGCATGATTGTCAGTGGTACAAAGCATAATCGAAAGTGAACTACATGATAAAAAACAATGTCAACAGAAGAAAAAATATATATATACGTGGAAGAAAACGGCAACAATTGTAAATTAACTACCATATCAAGTGATTTGTGATTAGCTGTTTAAATTTTAAGGGGTTTTGTTCGTGCACTATGGATTCAGGCAGGTTATTCCAGTCTTCAATGGCAGTAGGTAAAAATGATTTATTGAAAGCGTTAGTTGAACCATGTAAGCGCTGTAAACATAGGGAGTTAAAGAGGCGACGCGATGAACGGGCGGGAGGTAGAAGAACGGTATTGCGTTGCGACGGGAAATTATGGTATAGTTTGTGCAGAAGGCAGAGCCGAATGACTTTGCAGCGGATTTCTAGAGGAGGGAGGTTGAGGGATAGTTTGATACTGGTAATACTTAAGCGAGAACTGTATTGTGAGGTGATGAATCTGGCAGCGCGATTTTGAATTGCTTCTAATGCGTCGATTAGGTAATTTTGGTGAGGGTTCCAAATAGCAGAAGCATATTCAAGTTTAGTACGCGTGAAGGTTTCGTAAGCTAATTTTCGGATTTGCGGTGGGCAGGACGTAAGCGATCTTTTAATGCAGCCAAGTGATTGTGCTGAAGCGGTAACTAGTTGTTCTATGTGCTCGGACCATGTTAGTTTACTTGTTATTATTACGCCGAGATAATGATAGGAGTCGACCTGGGTTGAGGGTTGGAAGTTCACAAAATACTGGAAGGAAAAGTTAGTGCGCTTGCGCAAAACTTGCATGAATTTACATTTTTGTGTATTAAGCTGCATTAGCCACCGTGTACACCAATTATGTATGTTAGACAAGTCATTCTGGAGTGGAATTTGGTCAGTGCAACATGAGATGCGACGATAAAGCACACAATCGTCTGCAAAAAGGCGGATGGTGGATGAAATTTTGTCTGGAATATTAATAATGAAGATTATAAACAAATGAGGCCCAAGAAAGGAAACTTACTGTACACCAGAAACTACATCGACACGGGTTGATTCATTATTCGCGACAACAGTATACTGAACACGACCGGTTAGAAAATTTTTAATCCGAGATAGGGCTAAGGGGTCTATACTGAGACAAGAAAATTTACTTATTAGACGGCGGTGAGGAACACGGTCGAAAGCTTTGGAAAAGTCGAGGTATATTACGTCTGTTTGAAAAGAAGAGTCTAGGTTAAATTGAAGGTCAGTAGAAAATTCGTACAGCTGTGTCTCGCACGACAGTCCACGCCGGAACCCGTGCTGGTTAGAAAAAAAGAAGGAATTTTGGTCCAGATGAGTTGCAATGTGGGAGTACATTACGTGTTCTAGCAGCTTGCAGGCAATGCATGTTAACGAAATAGGACGATAGTTTGAGGGGTGTGAAGGGCTTCCTGATTTGGGCACGGGGGTGACATTACTTATCTTCCAGTCTTTAGGAATAAAACCAGTGTCAAGGGATTGGTTAAAAATAAATTGTAGGATAAGACTGGATATTATTTTTGTGCTTTTCAGAATTTTAGGGGGTATATTGTCTGGGCCAGGAGAACTCGAGAATTTAAGGTTGTCGATTAGATTTGCTATTTCTTCGCTTGTAACAAAAATGCGTAGCGTCTGTGGGAAGTCTCTGGGCGGCAAGGACGGAACATCGGTGGAGGATTCATGCGTGAATATAGATGAAAAATGGGAATTAATGATTTCGGCGGAGTTAGTGGCGGAAACGGCCGAACCATCGACATTAGTAAATGGCAAGTTTTGAGCAGCGCTGTTTTTAGGAGACAAATACTTCCAAAATTTTTGTGGGTTGTCGCGCAGGATGCCGAGGAGATCATGACCGAAGAATTGCCTTTTTGCATTTTTGAACAGTGAAGTGTACTCGCGCAAACATGTGCGATACTTTTCCCATTTAACAGGGGATTTTGATAACTTGATATATTTAATTACTTTTTCCATTGATGATATCATCAGCCGAATCAACACATCAATAGTGAACAAAACTTTATACAATAATCTGATACCCTCAATCAACATAAGAACATTAAGGTAACACGAAGGCGGCGCTGCCAACACTCGACTTACCACGAGAGCCCACAGGAAACAACTCGCAACACCGTCTTCATGGGCCCACCGCGGCAGACGATTGTTTGCGCCAACCGTCACACGCCAAAGAGGCTTGTCAATCTTTTTTTTCTGGCCATGTAGCCTCGCCACCAGGTGTCACTGGTGCCGCTGCCGCGCTAACCATAATGATGACGATGGTTAAGATCATGTGCGAGGGCTGCACCACCTACTGCCCAGCAGCTGTTTACCCTAACTGCGGCCCATTCGTGGGACACGTGTGTGCCACAAGGCCAAAACAACTTTGCAGGGGTTAACGAAACATAGACGTTTTGCCACCTATGCGGGTGGCATTGTCAGTGCACAAATACCATTTGATGAGAAAGTACAGCCGCGGCCACGTCTGTGTAGAGCGCGCGAGAAGGCGGTTTTGGCTCTGCGGGTTGAAACCTTGAGGCAGTTTCGGGCTTTCAAGTAGAGTAGCAGGAGAATGCATGGCCTAGTTGTCAGACTGAGCATGTCACAGCCCGATACTGCCTCAAGCTTTCGTGCCGCAGTGCGAAAACAGGTTGCTCGCGTGCTCAGACGTGGCCGCGACTGTACATCACATTTATATCTTGCCGTGAACATTTGGCAGAGGGCAATGATTACTATTGCATGCAGATTGATTACCATGAATGAACCATGATTCTACAACTTTTCTTAGGCCCCATCATTATTGTTGTTCCAGCTTCGTTTCATTATCGAGACCAAACACGTGTCCTTAATAACGTTCATCTAGCCATTTAATTCACTTGTGAAATGGAGGATTATGGCATTTTAGTCTATCTAGATGTTCTCATATGTCGGAGTGTGGATGGTTCATTGGAGACAGCCGTGTATTGCAAATTTTGCGATAGCCGCACTGTGATGAGTTACGACTCGCACCACTCTGCAAAGCACAAGTATGTGGTTGTTCGTACACTTCTGTTACACCGCGACATGCTATTGTCAACGCAGGCCCTGGGGAAGTATGAAGAAATAAATGTTGCCAGTATCTTGAATAAAGCGAGCTGCCCTCAGTGATTTGTTGTCACGATGCAAAGATTCTTGTGGAAAAAAAGCATGAAATATGGTTACAGGGGACAGCATATTTTTTGC